TGTGCTACACCTTATTCCCATCACCTCCTCTGTGCTACACTCCACTGCCAAAAAAACCCTCTGTGCTACACCCCAGTGCTAAAATCCCTCTGTGCTATACCCCACTCCCAACACCTCCTATCTGCTACACCCCACTGCCAAAACAAAACCCCTTTTTGCTCCACCTCACTCCCAACACACCCCTGTGGTTCAACTCATTCCCAACACCCTTCTCTGTGCTGCACCCCACTCCCAAAACACCCCCTGTGCTACACCCCACTGTAAATATTCCTTTGTGCTACACCCCAGTGCTTAAACCCTTGTGTGCTACGCCTCACTGCCAAAAAAACCCTCTGTGCTACACCCCACTCCCAAAATCCCTCTGTGCTACACCCCACTGCCAAAACCCCTCTGTGCTACACCTTATTCCCATCACCTCCGCTGTGCTACACCTCATTCCTAACACCCCTCTGTGCTACACCCCAGTGCCAACACCTCCCTGTGCTACACCCCAGTGCCAACCCCCCTTTGCAGCGCTCCTACTCTGGGGGTGGGTGCCACAGGTGAGCTGGCTGCACCAGAAACCTGCCTGAGCGGCCACTCCTGCCTCTGAGCCCCTGCCCTGCCCATGTCCGTGTGTCTGTCTGTCACAGCCATCCCTCTCTGCCCCCAGAACCAGGCTGAAGCCCACTACAAGGGCCACAAGCACGCGCGGAGGCTGAAGGCCATCGAGGCCATGAAGAACAAGCAGAAGGTGGTGGGGGCTGCAGCGGGGACCCCTGGCCAGGACAGCACAGCCGAGCTGGCCCCCAGCCCCGTGGGCAGTGGGGAGCTGGGCAGCACAGGTACAGGAGGGGCTGAGGAGGCTGGGGTTGGGGTGGCAGAGGTGCCACCTGAGCTCCTGCAGGGGAACAGGGGGTGTTTTCCCTGTGGTTTGGAACAGGGGGTGTTTCCCTGTAATTTGGTGTCTCTGGGAATGAGCCCTGGCCCACACATCCCCAGGGCTCTGCACATGCAGGATGGGGCTGGTGAAAGCTGTGGCACCACCAGGGTTTGGTGCTGAGCCCAGCTTGCATGCACTGGAGATAACAGCTGTAATGAGAGCTGGGGATGCATGCAGACCTCTGGGATGGTGTTGGCAAATTTGAGGGTGCTCTCTGAAATCCAGAAAACATGTTCAAGCAGAGAGAACTTTCTCTTTGTGCCCATTTCTTTCTCTTTTCCTCTTTCCCCCTTTTCTTTTTGTCCCTCCAGCTGATGCCAGTAGCCCACAGGAGTCGGAGGGCGAGGGCAGCAGCCTGGCACTGGTGCCCAGCACTGAGGAGTCACCAGTGGAGCTGCCAGGCAGTGTTGCCCCTCTGGGCTCCCCACCAGCCTCCGAGCTGTCAGAGGGCACCTCAGATGCCACCAGCGTGGCCTCCTCATCAGCCCAGGCAGCCGAGGCACAGGCAGCTGAGTCAGGCAGCAGCGTCAGCTCGGCCCCTGAGAGCGAGAAAGAGGGGAAAAAGAGCAAACAGCACCTGTACTGTCCCACCTGCAAGGTGACCGTCAACTCACTGTCCCAGCTGGAGGCTCACAACACTGGTAAGGGCATTTTTGGGGGGCAGGAGGACAGGGGATGGGCCCCTGCCACTTTATTGGGGCTCAAGCAGCCTTGCAATGAAGTAGCAAGCATTAATGAGTGTTGCTGTAATTAAAAAACATTAAAATGACCTGCATAGATGAGCCATAGGGCTTTATCAGGGCTGCACCTTCTAGGGTGAATTTGCATCAGGTCAAACACTCTTATTGTTCACATCTCAATTAAGGACGTTTAATCAAGTGATTGAGGCTACTTTATTTTCCATTTAGCTTGAAGCTGATAGCCAGGGCTTCTTCCGAACATGGAATGATACTTCCCAAAGCAGCTTGGTGGTTTGAGCTTGTGGAGAGGATGCCTGGGAATGCAATGAGCTGTGGAACCCATAGCCCAAAATGACTCCTGGGCTGTGTGGGGCAGCCCTTTGAGGTGGGCATCTGTGGGAGCTGCTGAGGGTCCCCCAGGGTGGTGCCAGCCATGGTACAGGGGTCCCCAGTGGGGTTTGTGGGCAGTTCCAGCTCCTGGCTCACCCCTTTCTCCAGAGGATGCTTAAGCTGGGCACCCCAAATTTAAACGGAAGGCCCTTTTAAATACTGGGGAGCAATTGCAATTCCTGCCACCCCACTGCAGCTGCCGAGGGCAGGGTTAGCTCAGGACACTGCTGTGGCTTAGCTGCAGACGTGTCCTTTTGCTTTTGTCAGCTCCAGTTACAAATTCAGGAGCTGATTTGGGGGAAAACGAACAAACAAATAAACAAACAAGCAGACAAACATTTGCAGGCTGGCGCTGCTCTGTGGCTGTCACACAGCTCCTTAATAAACAGAATTAATTAGCAGGGCTTAAATTACTTGCTCCCCATGCACCCTTGTCAGGGACAGGACGGAGCACCCTGTCCCCAGGTGTGCAGGGATCTTGGGTTCCTCCTTCCCCACCTGCTGTGACCCTGCTGAGCTATTCCTGGCTCTGCTGTGACCTTGGGCACGGCTCAGATGCTGCAGACTGTGCTAACGCCCGGGGACAGGCGACAGGCTCCAGCACACGCTGGAAATAGCAAATAGCAGCTTCTCCAAAGCTGCCTCGTGCAGGGGGGGTCTCTGGGAACATGAGCATCCCTGCTCTGCCTGCGACGTGCACTTTGGCAGGGTTTGGCAGTGGGCTGTGCAGCAATGGTGAAAGTCTGGGTTCCACAGCTCCCTGTGCCCTCTGCCTGCAAGTGCTGCTGGGCACGGGTTGGTGCTGTTGGAGGGCACTGTTCCTGCTGGATATCCCATGCTCCTGCTGCTGGGGCACTGGCACGGGGCTGGCTCGCTGAGTGTCCCCTCCTGGCAGGCGCCAAGCACAAGTCCATGCTGGAAGGTCACGGTGCCCAGCTGCGGCGAGGCCGGGGCAAGCTGCTCTCCCGGGCAGGGCACAAGTCCAAGCGCATCGGGAACAAGGGCAGCATCAACATCCAGAACAAGGCCTTCCACTGCCAAGTGTGCGAGATCTACGTCAACTCCGAGACCCAGCTCAAGCAGGTGACGATGCCCTGGGAGTGCCTGGGGGTGGGTGTGGAGGGACTCAGGGTGTGGTGCCTGGTGTCCCCACAGACCTGAGCCACACAGTGGCTGGCTCCCAGTGATCCTGCTGTTTTCCCCCCCAGCACATGAGCAGCCGGAGGCACAAAGACAGGCTGGCAGGGAAGCCACCCAAGCCCAAGTACAGCCCCTACAACAAGCTGCAGAAGAATGCTGCCCTTGCAGTGAGTATTCTCAAGGTACCTGTCTCCCTGCACAGCACTTGGTTTGCTCACAGAGCCTCACTTACCATCAGCCATCCTTTCAGTGAGTTATGGGAGCTGCTTCTCTTAAACCTTGACTTCCATCACTGTGACCATGTTCACAGGGGTTCTTGGATGAGGGAAGAGACAAGGATCTGACTCTATGTTTCAGAAGGCTTGGTTTATTATTTTATGATATATATTACATTAAAACTATACTAAAAGAATAGAAGAAAGGATTTCATCAGAAGGCTAGCTAAGAATAGAAGAGGAAAGAATGATAACAAAGGCTTGTGGTTCAGCTCTCTGTCTGAGCCAGCTGAGCTGTGATTGGCCATTAATTACAAACATCTAACATGGGCTAATCAAAGATCTATCTGTTGCATTCCACACCAGCAGATAATCAATGTTTACATTTTGTTCCTGAGGCCTCTCAGCTTCTCAGGAGGAAAAATCCTAAAGAAAGGATTTTCCATTAAAGATATCTGTGACACATCCCCACAGCTCAGCTTCTCCCCTCAAGGAGGGTGAGCTGTGCTGGTGGGTTTTGAGGCTATTCCTGGATAACTTGGGAGTGCTTTCATTCCTTTGTGTTCCCTCCACCTCACGGTGTCTCCCCCTCCCTCCCTCCCTGCAGTCCAAGCTGGCTTTGCAGAAGCACCTCACCAAAACCTTGGCCACGCGTTTCCTGCCGAGCCCGCTGACCGCCGCTGCCNAGCACCTTACCCTGTGCAGGGGAGCCTCCATGGCTGCATCCCCTCAGCAGATGCATCCCCTGCCCCTTGCAGCCACCCCCTATGAGCTCTGTGGCCTTGGCAGTGGCTCCTTGGGAGTGTGACAGGCCTGGGGGTCACCAGATCATGGTGCCACATTGGGGCAGCCATCAGGACACCCCAGAATCTCTGATGGTCACAGAGACCCCAGGATGTGTCAGAAAGTCTCTTTTCCCAGCCTGGTCATTGAAGAAGGAGTCAGAATTCTTCAGTTCTCGTTCTCAAGGTTGTTTATTGTTTCTTATCTATAAAATTCTTTCTCTGACCCACTGAGGTCTCTCTGGCAGGTTGGGTTGAGGCACACTGCTATTATCTTTTATACTAAAAACTATTTGTACATTATTTACCATAACTTCCCAATCCCTATCACCTATGTTAGACAGTGAGCTTCTACTCTAAACCAATCCAAAAGCCTCAGCATCACAGCAGAAGATGGAGGCCAAGAAGAAGAAGGAGAAATGCTGGACACACCCAGACTCCTCCATCTTCTCTTTGAACCCCCATTCTAAAAATCAAAAAAAATCTATTTCTTCACCCTGTGATAAATTCACTATCATTCTACTTAAACTCTTTTGACTTGTAATTCTTCATATAAAGGTTGGTAATTGTTTTTCCATGGGTCACAATCAAAGGCACGTGGGTCTTGGGCTCTGTGCCAAGGTCTCTGAGCCCCTTGGGCAGGGTCTGGAGTCCTCCAGGGCAGCCAGAGGGATTTCCTGGGTTCCAAGGAGGGCACACAGCCAGCCCTGCCTCCCTGCCTGCCCTTGCAGATGGACCCGGTGCAGAAGGCAGTGATCAGCCACACCTTCGGCATGCCCGCCCCGCTCAAGAAGAAGCAATTCATCTCCTGCAACATCTGCCACCTGCGCTTCAACTCTGCTGTGAGTGGGGTCACACACGGGGCTGGGAGTGAGGGGGGACACAGGGCCAGCCCCTGCCAGGGGTGTCCCCAAAAATGGGTCAGTGTCATCCATCCCCC